GATTTGATAGTCTCTGGATTTTAACATGCAAATTCTGCCCTTACGACCGAACTCAGCTTATGATTTCTCCAAGATTATCAAGTGACGCACCTGTTTGAATTTTTGCAGATCCCAAGAATGATCTTCGCCAGGGTAATGACCCGGGAAATCAGTGCTGGCGACGTCTGATACACGCTCAGCACCGACGTTCACGAGGCGTCGTGGGTGATAGTCTGTGGACATGAAGAGACCACAAAATTTGAAAATGTTCCCACGACACCAACTCTGATCATGGCGTTCACATATGTTATTGAGCATATGGAAGACGACGAGCACACACCCGCTGCAGTCCCCCCATGGGTTATGCTCGAGTATGCGGTCCGTAGTTAATGTTCTGACATGAATCACGAACAAACCCACCGAAATAGCACATGCGCACCCTTGCAGGCCCAGGCGCTAAAATCCACTTCACGTCCCTCTCGAAAAGCTCGGCAGCATCTCTCTCTCAAGAATTCCAAACAAACTCGGACAGACTTGCAGAGGCCCATTCCCACCAACAGGGAATTCTGGAACTGATAAAAAGTCACGGCATCAGCCTAGATCGCGTCTGTCTGCTCGACCCCAAGGCCGAGCGCGAGCTATCACCAGAAGACGGCAATGGAACCTTCGACTTCTTCTTGTTCGGTGTTCGTGCGCCTCTCCAACCTCCCCTTCATCTCCGTCCTTTCTCGAAACTTACCCGGCTCATCGTTTATCGCGCACCTGCATTTGTATCATGCAGGGTATCCTAGGTGCGTACCTTGCTTCTTCCACTACAACTGTCACATATGTATTCATTCATTCACACTACTGCAGGCGACGATCCGCCGCGCGATAGAACTTCTGAGCTCCGCATTCTAGGCTTCCCGAACCGCCACCTGGGATCGGTGCAGATGACAACTGACACCGCTCTCGGCGTTACCAAGCTCGTGGTCCAAGATAAGATTCCTCTGGACAAGATACCCTATGTCGTGCGTGGCATCTTTCATTTCGGTTGAGGCGCCACCCCCGTACCCACGTCCGTTCAATTAGGATTTCCCAACAATTCGGTTCAGCGCTCGAGAATCCGTCGAGATGCCTTTCCGGTACATAGTGGAAAATAACGAGCCTAAACTGCCTCCGGGCATGCGCCAGCTTCTGCATGAAGACCTCAACAAGTCCTTTGACTTCTAGCCCCTAACCCCGGAAAAACTAAACCGCTACCTGATTGCGTGACTGCGTTGCATGTAGATACTATATTGTACACCAAATGCCACGGAACGGAAATGTGAAAGAACTTAAGAGTACAATGACAAGGGGATCGTATGAATGAGGCGACACGTAAATGAGAGCACAAATGCTGAGGGTAGAGAACATGACAAAAAAAAACTTTCCAATACTATCCAGATGGGGTGGGGATCATGACGAGGAATTAAACACCTGTGGCACCCCATTCGCAGCCCCATCAGTCGGTCTTGCATCCCAAGGCGCTGGTATCCTCGCCACATCCGCCAAATTCAAGTCCGCACGCGCATCGTTCATCCGATCTCGATCATTCATCGCCATCCGCGCTCGACATCTCACAAGCCGCAGCTTCGTCCTCTTAATCCCTGTACACGCAGCACCCCAGTTAGTATCCAGAGATCGGGGTAAAGTAGAAAATCAGGCGCACATGTAGCAATAGTCTCTCGGTCCTCTTCCATAAATGGGTTACCAGTTTGTAGTAGATCATCTTGGAGCGCGTAGAGACACCATAGACTCTCTTCATATAACTTCTCGCATTCGTCAGGTCCCGATGCTTGGTCTAGGAGTTCTTTCCTGGCCGCCGTCCGCGACTACACACCACACACTCATCAACAAGATCAAAGAGGGGAAGAGAAACGCAACGTACGAGGACAAGCGCCCTATCATACACCAACTGATCCAACCACGCCTTGGCTCCATCATACTGCGCAGGTAACCACGTTTTGACCAGTGCCGCACGATCATTACACTTCATAAAGTGCTCCTTAAACCAATTCAACGCTGCCCAGAACAAACAAGAGTATCGATCAACAACAAAACCAACAGAAAAGCGGACAAAATGAGAAATAAAGAAACATGACGACTCACCGTCATCAAACCCTTCGCTTACAACATAATCCCCCGCAGGATACTTCATCCCCATATGCTCCTGAAATTCCCTCAACAAATTAATCCCCTTCTGCGAAAATGACATCAAGAGCATATACACCGCAACACACGTCACAGCATTATACTCCGCCTCCATATCCGCATGTTTCCGTCTTCGGGCATGTTTCTCCAATTCCCCTTCACGTTTCGTAAACTTCGTTGGGTCCGGTAACGGCTCTGTTGACACAATTAGACAAGTTTCGGGATATAATATAAGAGCCAAACGCAAACGCACTCTGTGGTATAGCCTTAACATACTCATACATCTCATCCGCCCAATGCGTCAACACATCCGTCTTCTGCGCCAACTCTTCCAAACTAGCCAATAATTCATCCTCCATAGGGTCTCTTTCCCCATTCGGCCCTCCACCCCCTCCCCCTCCAACGCCCACACCGCCCGCACCATCACTACCGCCACCATCCAGGGCGAGAATCGGTCTCCGCGGGGAAGACGTCGTGCTTGACGGATTCGTATGTGAGAGCGAATGGGAATGTGAATTAGAATGTGAATGTGATCGAGATGTGCCAAAGAGTTTCTTAGATGCGAGGTTTAGGGCGCGGTGAAGTGCGTTCGAGGCTGCGCGGGAGGCCATGCTAGAGGGTGAAGAAGAGAGCGGAGGTGCCGCTGCATGTGGAGGCGGCGGGAAGGTTATATTATTCGTGTTCGTGTTAATGCTAATGTTCGTGTTAGCTCCGATTCCGGAATTATTGCTGTCCGGTGGGTATTCGTCAACTGAGGGCGTTGGTGGCATTTGGCGGTCATGTAATGGTCTTCTTGGATGTGCCGATATTTCTAAATGGGGGCAATGTGAGCTTGTGACTTGCTAGAGTTGAATAACACAGACCGTCGACGGCGCGATTAAACTCGACAGCGCGCGTATCATCCACAAGCACATACTCCCTTCTCAACACCCCATCTTCCTCCGTCTCACCAGGGATAAATGACCCCTCCGTCGAAAGCGGTCTCGCACTCCTGCGACCCCCTATTGAGGGAAATACAGTTCGATTCACTTCCCCTTGCACACCACCACCACCACCACCACCGGCGGCTGCCCCCTCTCGCCCATGCTCCCTTCCACCGCTAACAACCCTAGGCAGCGCTGCATTCGCACCCCTCGGGCTCCCATCCATACCCGATTGCACTTGATGTTGTTGTTGCTGCTGCCGTAGCAGCATCTGGTTCGGCGGCGGCAGCGTCTCAGACGGCCGACGGAAGTTAAATCGACTAGGCGGGATCATAGCTTTCGGGTCCAACACCTCTGGTGGTATAATCTTATGATGTTCCGGTGTAGGCGGTCGTCCAGGCCAGTCCCTCGACGTGTCTTCGTCCTCCCCCACTGCAGATCCCTGCATCGATGGGGGCTCCATATCCCTCGGTCGTGGAAACTTGCTCTTTGCCAAAGCATTGCTATTAAAGAATTCTTCGAAGCTCGCGCGTTCCGCAGGCTGTCGTCTGAGAAGCGCCCGGATGAGTTGTTTGATGTCATCTGGTACGGGAACGGGTTGTTGGTCTTCTCCATTACTGTTCGAGGTGTGTTTGCGCGAGGGGGGGTCTTCATCTGGGAACTTGATGCTCCTTGCGTGTTCGATTTTCTTTAACAACTCGATATGATTGTTTGCCCGGAATGGAGGTTTGCCTACAGCCATTTCATACAACACAGCACCGACAGACCATAAATCGGCTTTCGCGTCGTACTTTTCGTATCGCAGAATTTCGGGCGCCATGTATAATCTATCACACAATAACACATTAGCAAAGACGTCATCTCAACCAACATAAGCGCCCGATCCGAGAGTAGATCAACCAAGCGAGGGGAAGGGGAAAATGGACGTACGGAGATCCGCAAAGTGTTTCGGCCATCATGGCATTGGGTAATGATCTCGCAAACCCAAAGTCCGCGACTTTGAGGATGGGCACGCCGAGTGGGTGCCCCCTAGCCAGTTCCTCTGTTGACGCCGGGTTGAGGAGGAGGTTTTGTGGCTTGATATCCCGATGTATTAAGTTCCGGTGTCGTAGGAACTTGAGTGCGCGAGCTGTTGCTGGTGGGTCAGAAAGCCCCTAATCCGGAACGAGCGGGGAGGACGGAAGGGAATGTACTTGCCTAGCTGGCGGAGAAAACTCCGTACGACTACTTCGTCTAGCCCACCTGTTGAGGGATGTGGGTAGTATTGAGGCGCCGCGCTGGGCGAGGGAAGGTACTGTAGTCCGTCGACGCGTCCACGTTTCTTGATGTAATTGGTCAAGTCACCGCCTGCACAGAACTCCATGATGAGATACACATTCTTCTCCGCGCGCTAGTGAGGTCAGGACAGAGCTTAATTCTCGACCAGCATGAATCGGGAGGAAAGGGGACACGTACAACGATGTCAATAAGTCGTGTGATATGTCGGTGTGATAAGGACTTGAGGATCTGAATTTCGCTCTGGAGGTTCTCGAAGAGCTTAGAGGAGAGCTTGTCGGTTACGACTGTCTTGATTGCAACCTGATGGTGCGTTTCCTGTACGTGTAATAACAGATGTTGAGGCAGGAATACTAAGTGATCGAGAGAGACGTACCTCGTGGTAGCCCTTGTAGACAGTGGCGAAGCTGCCCTTGCCGATGTCGCTGACAATGACATACGGACGCAGCTCCTCATCGCTACCCGTCCTCCTTGTCGATGAGCTGCTCGCTGTGCGCCGTGACGGCGGTGCTGGTTGCATTCGCAGAGTGGGTGTTGTTGGTGGCAGCAGTGTCGAGGTGATTAAATGAATCGTTCTGTGAGCTCACTCTAATGTCAATCACGGTGACTAAGCATGCCTGATATATCCAACCACAAAAAACTACTTCTGAATGGACATTGTGGGAATTGAACCCACGACCTTTCGCATACACTGCTTCCGTTAGGGCTGCGAAGCGAATATTATACCACTAAACTAAATGCCCGTTGCAAAGCATTGCTCGTCGGGTGAGCCTGGGAATGATTCCAGATTTCCATTTCACCGATTGCGTTTATCTACCCAATAACCTATGCTACTTCCACTTTCAGCAGCATGGATATATGGCTCATACGTCTGCACCTTCGACGGTCCAAAACTCGGTGGCCCAGGAGTCATTAAATACTCCATTGGTGACGAGCTCTGCATCAATGCAGGTAGCCTTGGAACTCTCTTCTTTCGGCTAGGTTGAGGAGGCTGTTCTTTTGGCACTGTTGGTGCCGATGCGCTATTGTATAGGGGGCTGTATGAAGGCCAATCATCCATCTGCATAGACGAGTCTGGGTGACCTTCTTTAAGGTACGCGGGGTGTGCTGGGTCGGTAATTTGACGGTAGTAGACGTAGACCAAGAGACAATAGATGATCGAGGGTAGAAGGGAGAAGAGGAATACAGACGTGATTTGAGATGGGACCTCGCTCAGCCAGGCAGTGTAGCACGCTGTCAATGTAAATTGTAAGCAGTTCAGTTCAAGCAGGAAATGTAGATTTACCCGTTTCTGCATCTGTGCTCTTCATGCCGTGCTGCATCAGAGGCCACGGCCGACCCCGCTGGATCATTGTCAGTTAACGTAAGAAATGGACGCAAGTGAACTCACGAAAATAGACTTGCTCGCCAGTTCTCCATTCATCGCTAATACGGTGCATTCCTGTATCACATCGCCCTACGATAGCAAGGTCAGTACGTCCGGCGTTTAGCCAGAGTATGATATCACACCCACTCCAAATATATAAAAAGTTAACGCCGCTACTGCCCCAGCCACGGTAACAATAAACGCAGACACAACAGCCAAGCAAGAATAGATCCGGATGAAAATAACGCGTTGCTAAACAAAGTCTTAGAATGCCAGTCCCAGTGGATATGCGCGAACGCCGAAAATCAGTTTTGACATGCGTACCATAGAGACGCCAAGTATGCCAAAGATATCAATCAGGCCGGCAGTGAGATACATGCTACACAGCGAGGATGATGCACCGGCGAGGTGTGGTAAATGAACTAAGTGACCAGAATCAGCATAGTTGTTGACGAGAACCTGATCATTAGCAGCTCACGATTGTTGTCAACATCCACATCATGATACGCATTAAGCTGTACACCATGTCAGCAATGAGTGAATTTTGCGGGTCCAAAATGCCGCCCACCGCACTGGAAAAAAGTATGTCAGGCAAGGGGTAATTAAAATATCAGAGAGAGAAGCTCGTACGAGAGAGTAAACCTCAGCGCGTTGACTCCCGACACTGCATTCCATCAAAATGACTTCAGAGCCTCATTCTGTAATGAGATGTCTCACCAGCAAGAACAATATTCCTCCAGTTCGCATGATACAACGCCGCGAAAAAAGGCGCTGCTCTCCCTCGTCGCGAACTGGCTGGGGTAACCAATACAATCGTCACCAGAACACACGCGATATTTGCTCCAATCACACGTACCAGGATATCTATTATCAACTTGACGTTCGAATCAATATATCTCCACATCGACAAGATGTGACAGAGCACGTACTCTTCAGTTGAAGTGGAGGCGGGCGCATAGTTATTCTGTTCAACAGAACTAAGTAGGTAGGGGCGTAGGCGGAAGCTCAGAGGTGGTACCAGACGACGGGTACAGGTCCCAAACAGTGGTTAATATGTACTATCCTCAGTCTCCATTACAGCCGGTCATGCATATGATGCAACCACCCCCTGGCCGTCGGGGACTACGCCATCACTACCACCTTGGGCGTCGCAAAGGGCTGCAAACTGTTGCATCATCATCAAACTTGAGCTTGAAACGGTCTCGGGATCAACCAATAGACCCGTTTATCACCTTCGTCGTCAACGATTCGACAGAGCAATGCCACGGTTCACCATTGTTGCGACTATGATTGTCCCTCTGGCGTCAGGCGGCGATCCAAAAATAAGTTTTAAGCTGGAGCACTGCCTGATATGTCTCGTAATGGGCATCTCGGTATATCTCACCTCCTAGAAATGATTTCAAAAAATCAAGGACATTTTCAGACAATCAACGTAGACGTCATCAAATAAATTCACGGCCGACAGCATTCAGAAGCAGACAAAAAACCCCAACGGGGGCGCAGAGCATAGTTGGGAACAAGGAGTATAAGGTCCACAGGTTACCTAGGAACGGACAATTAGGCCAAACACGACCAAATACATACCCAGAAGCTGCGGGAGCACCGCCTCCCTGTCATTCCTTCATAATAGCGGCCACGACTCTTCTTCACGATTCCCACTCTCACGAACTTCCCATAATCATCAGTAATAGTCCCTCAGGATGGATAGCAGGCTTCCTCCTCCACAAGGTACGTTCTAGGTTTCTTGCAGGTCAAGCTGTTGTGCTGAGATTACCCCCAGGTGCGTTTGGTCTTATCGTGTGATTGTTTCCGGCATCGCCTAACCGTCGACTACTCTTTGCTACCCAGGACCTCCCCCTTCATATGCCTTTGTAACAAGAGTGTACAGGAAAAGTTTGAGACCCATTGTACTCGCTGGTATGTCCTCAGAATCTAGAGTGGCGAAGGGGGAAGAGGCTGACTTTAACTTCAGTTGCATTCCCTGCCCTACTATGGACACTCTTTGGGTGAGCACTGTAATCTGCTCTGTTATGAATCGTCATAATCTAACACTATATCTAGAGCTGTACGGTTGCATTACCTCTCCATCTGCTCATAAACTCATCTACGCACGTTAGATCGGGTACTTCAGAAATGCAGGCCTAGACCAGCTCGGTATGTCGGTGGCTCATGATCTGATCGTAATGCCCAGTTTCTCAACCCATCCACAGGAAGTGTACCAGGACTGAAGACTGTATATATCGTGCTTGGGGCACTATACATGGTTGTCGCAGGAATCGAGCTCTTTGGATTAGTCGCAGCGGCAACAGTGCGTACTTCCCATTTCCTCGTTATCGCCATGCTAATCTGGGCCTTGTGACTCTTAACAGCAACGTGTGCCCCTTGTGCGCCTGTATGCCTACCTATCAGCGCTGGTTGTATTGATTATTGCCGGGACTGGGCTGTTAGAAATCGTCACACATTTTACGATGAAGGTGCGTTTTGGTATTATCTTCTTACGCCGTTATGAGCAATGCTGATATATTGTAGGGCAATATCATCAGCACATGTACCAACCTTTCGAAAGATGGCACGATTGTCTACGTACGTCCTATCTTGCCCTGGTAGTATTGCTCGTATTGATCCACTTTGTAGTTCGGATTCTGGGGACCCAGTTTCCATGACTTGTCAGACTCAGAAGCTGCATCTCGTGAGTCATCTCTCCTTCTCCCTTTTCCACCAGCTAACTCCGATTTCAGTGTGTCAGCACTACTGGGATCGTGACTCGTGGCAGGAAATCGTCGCCTTCCTCGTGACAACCGGTACGTCCGCCACTAACCAACCCAAGTAAAGCTAACACCCCACTCCATAGTCCTTGCATTCTTCTTCTCGGCCGTGGCTTTCAGCTACCTCCGTCAAGTCTTGGACCCAAGCAGTATTGTCAACGCCTCTCGCGCTCCCTCGTACGGTGCACGCAACGCAGCGTACCCACCACCACACTATAACCCACCTTACAATGGCCAATACAACCAGCCATACTACGGGCAACCGGCGTACGGATATGGCGATGATGCATTTGTGCCACCTTATGAGGCAAAGCCCGGATACACCGCGCCGGAGAACAAAGCCGGGTATGGTGAAGACTCGAAAGATCCATTTGGTGACCAACATGCGTCTGGTTCGAGAGTTTGAGCTATGTGATGATTTGCATGATTTGAATCGACTTCTTTCTCGATGTGTCTAGACTTCTTGTATGATTAGTTTGGACTCTGCTTATGATATTATCTCTTCCAGTACTTTGTTCTTGTACATAAGGTATTATACACGGAACAACAACAACAAGTAGTGATGTCATCCTTGGTAATTGGAGTCGGGACACTTCGTGCGCGGCCTATGCAAATGGTCGGTTGTTGTCAACCCGAGGTGTATACGTGATCGAGCAAACACACGATCATTACGCTATTCTGGGCGTGTTGCACCGCCACTGGAGCTCGATATGTCAGAATATGTCAGGGTCTCATAGTCGACATCATGTCCACACCAGCACTCAGCGAGCTGCCCATTGAGCTCCTGGACCACATCATCACCCAGCTCGACGACCCAGCCCTCGTCTCCCTCGCTAAAACAAACCACCTTTTCAACAACCTCGCCCTCCATGCCTTCTTCATTCGCAATAACGTTTCCGGCCCAAGACACGGGTACCTCGTCTCTCGCCTCGCCCCACCCGAGATTATCCCTGCACTCAACGCTGCGCTATGGCTGACTGACTTGCAATCCATAACATACTACCTCAATCCGGATTTCCGGCAGATGGTCATGGAGACGAGGGGCCTCGCGGCGTTGGTGGACAGACTGCCCAGCGTGGAGCATGTGGATGTGTATTTTGGAAGCGTGGATTATTGGTTGAATGAGTTGTATGGTATGGGGGGGACGTGGATGGCTATTATGGGCCTGACCATGGAAGAGAGACCGAGGTTAGGGAAGGAGCGGTGGAGGAAGGCGTTTGTGGGTTTGTTGGATGGTGTGTTGAGCAAGGGGTGTGTGAAGTTGTCAGTTTCAGGTGGGAGTATATTTCAAGAGTTTTATGTCGAGGATGAGGCGCGGCAGACGGCTGTTGAGAGGACTTTTGCGTTTTGGCCTAGGGCGACTACGCTCCCGTTGAGTGGAAGACCCCCGACGCCCAGACCCCCTTTTCTTGGCAAGCCTGACATCGTCTCGTCTGGATTCTCTGGTCCTGGGTTCTTCTCGTATTTCGTGGCTTCACTTCGACGGGGTTGGTCCAGTGTGTGGAAATGGACTCTGTGGTTCTTCACTTCCACGCATGCAGCGACACTGCCGGAGCCTATTCTGAAGATCAAACTGGACGAACCAGAAAAATTCGAACCGCTGCCAAACCCA